GTGGAGGTTACCGTCCCCGCAAGGTCTTCTGAGGGACCTTCTGTGTCGGGGAGGTGGGGGGCAGCTTTTGAAGCAGGGCAGAGGCACACATTATCTTCTGACTCCAGCTGTGCTGAGTGCCTCTTTTTTTTTCATTGAAAGTGTCTGTAAAGTAAGTGAAACTCTAACCAAAACAGTTTTGGTTAGCTATTTTGGTATTAAATACAGTGAGACACAATGTATACTACACACATATTTCCCAGATAACTTCATAACCAAACCAGTTAATTATTAATAAATGCTCTCTATTAGGCTCCTAGCTTTGTTTCAGCCTTCAGTGATGACTTCTCAACAAAATTCATGTTCTGAAGGTCCTGCATTGCTTTAGCTTTGGTAGCTTTCTCGTACTGGACCATATTAACTCCTCTTATTATCTCCCAGTGGGTCCATGCTGAATTGAAGCTAATGGGTTGATGGCGGCTCTCTTTACAAAATGTTCATGCTTCTCAGTTTTGGATTGTTATGTGTTGAAGGCCAAAGAATAACAGAAGTGGGAATTGCCTTTCAATTTTCTAGTCATCCTCTGCACTTTTAGTTATTTCTGATAAAATGTCTCAAATGTGTCAATTCACTAGTCTTAGAAGCATGATTTCATGAAAGCTAAGTCTTCTCCCTGGTTTACAGAATGCAAAGCAACAAATGTTTCCATGCCAGGAGGACTTCAGGGCAAGAAGTTGGACCACCCTTTCATGTTTTGCTTAAACTTGCTCAGTTCGGGCTAAAGTGACTCTCCTGCAATTTGATAGTTAGCTCGAGTAATGCTGTGTACTCTCACTTTATTACTAGGTATCTGAAATTGTTTCGGTTAGACCTGGCAAATTCCGAATGTTAGCTTTGTGTTTCCCCTTTGTTTGGAGAAATAATCCAGTGTATTTGATTTCCTGAAACACTTAACTATAACCTATTAAGAAAACATGTCTTGCTGGTTGCTTTGCTTCTGCCCTAAACTGAAATGCAGTGGGAAGATGGGAAAAGGCCTCAGCTGAGTTGAAATTAGAGAGAAAGAAACACACTTGCACCATTGAAACCTGGATCCACAGAAAGCAGTTTTTACGGTAGCTTTATTGTTCGTGTGTTTCTAATAACCTTCTCATTTCATCTTATTGTGAGTAAGGGGAGATGATGTACTGCCATGAATGCTAGCGCGTGGTCTAAGCTCCAGCTTTCATTATTACTTCCATTATCACAATGGATCTTCATTGGCCTGAATTGCTAACGTTCTTATAGGAACGATAAGACTAAAATGGCTCTACCTGTCATTCACTGATGTGTGAATTGACAATCAAATGAATGATCAATTTTTCCACGCTTCAATAGCTTCTTTCAAGCCACACGTCCTGAGGTACCGTATAAAATGCTGCAGTTCTAGCTAAGTTTTCTAAGGGATAGGTAAAGTAAATTAGGCAATTAGACCTAATCTTAGATTTAAAAATTGAAAATCCATCAGTGTCTCTGTCTTGCAAAGAAAATACATTTCAAAATCTGAACGGAAAAAGTATCCTTACAAAAAAACCCTCCTGTACTCCTGTCAGCCTGCCTGTGAATGGCTTTCATGAATTTCTAATATATTTTTCTTTTGTTCATTTTTTCTAAAAACTTTGGACCCTAGAAGCTTTTAAGAAGGAGGAGTTTTGAAAGTGGAGCAATAGGAAGTGCTAAATATTTTATTAGTGATTTATGAAAACATGTTTTTGCTTTATTCCTTTATTCATGAATTCCTAATATATTTTTCTTTTGTTCATTTTTTCTAAAAACTTTGGACCCTAGAAGCTTTTAAGAAGGAGGAGTTTTGAAAGTGGAGCAATAGGAAGTGCTAAATATTTTATTAGTGATTTATGAAAACATGTTTTTGCTTTATTCCTTTAATAGAAAAAAATCGTGACAGCAAAATCATGAGGATTAATGTATGAAAATGTATTGCACGGCAGCTTCTGAGTAATGCATTTATAAACAGTTTCTTTTTTAAAAAATTTTATGTCAAAATGGATTACAAGAAGACTAGCAAATTATTGTAGTCAGATTAAATACAATACACAGTCCATGAGTTTTTCTGTAACGTCTCCTGCGTCCTGACTGAGATCACCCAGTCTTCATGTAGTTCCCTATAGGAATAGGGAACATAACAGGAATGTCATGTTACTTTTGTTCACTTCCTTGGTTTAAAGCAAAGAGTAAAGCAGGTGAACCTCTGAAAAGTTTAATGTAGGAAAAATGCTTCTTGATTTAAGTCTGGTTTCATCCAAAATCTATTTTTCAGTCTATTTAGTCCTTTTTGCAGTTGTTGGTGAACCTGTGCCCTTCATGGTGTACAGGTAATGATTCACTTTTAAACACTAATACGACTAGAGTTGTATGTTCTACATGATCTGTCAAAACTAAGAAACAATAAAGAGCTGCAGAAGGAAAAAAAACAACCCACAGATGAAGGACAAAAGTGAGATAGAAACCATCAAAATAGAGAACTTGAGGCAGACAAAGGCTGGGTAACCATTTTGACAAGCTGACTGGAAGTCACTGTGCTTTATACTGTGAGGGCTTCATCCAAGTTTCACTGGTGGCAGTAGAGAAGCTTCAGTAGGCTTTAATACAAACCTAATTCAGCCAATTTATTGAATGATTTCTTCATTTTTGTGACACCAGTCTTGTTGCTGAGCAGGGATGAGGAGGAAGGAGACGAGGGAAAGCCAAAGGAAAGTTGACCACACAAATGTAATGTTGGAGGCATTAGACTGCGTGGGGCTGTTCAGCCTCTACAAAGAACCAAACTTATTCCCATGGAAACCAATGTTCGAAGATGAATAAGTAGCCTGGCTCTCAGCAGCTCCCTTTCCTTTTTCTCTTTTCTTCTCTCTTGGGACGTTTTGTTGTTGTTTTTGGTAAAGGGAAAGAAAGACGCTCTTCACCTCCAAGCAGCTTGAGAAAAGACTGGCAACATTCATTCCACTAATAAGGTGGCAATTAACGCAAAGAGGAATGTCCTGGATTTCTCAAAGAGAAGTATTTTCCAACAGGAGCTAGTCAAGATGTTGATGAGGTTTTGTTTCTCTTTTTTGTCGTTGTTGTTGTTGTTTAAATGGGATGTACACTTTCTGGAAGAGGGGGCTGCTAAACTGGTGTTGTAAGTCTGCCCTCACGTGTTGGGTTTTAACTCTTCAGGAGAGAAAGTATAAGTGAGCTCAGTGGAATCCACTGGATGTATTGTGGCACCACCCAGGCAGAGATCCTCAGGTCTGCTCGGTTTTTTTAATTTTAAGTTTTAGGTGCTGATGTACGCGTAGCAATGAGTTACACACAGAGGGAATAGCCGGAGGTATGCACTATTCATTTGATGTAGCAGATACGGGTCATTATCATTCCTGCGCTTAGTAGATAATGAATTCAAAGGGAACGTTACAAAGGTGTTACTGATGGTATCAGTGTTATAATGTGTTGCAACTATTGACTGACATAAAAAGAGACAACCAAAGGTAGGCTGAAAAACAGGAGAATTATCAACTAACTTTCAGTAAGCAAGGAACATAGTCTCAGTAGTCTGAAAAAAATCTTTTGCATTTGGCTTCTTGTGAGGACAGTTTCTGAGAATAGAAAATGTCATAGGGAATAGCGTCATGTGGGAAATTTCCAGTGTGAGTCAGCATGAAACTGTGCTTAGATGGGGCACGAGTTGTTCTGCAGGCTTTGAAACTAATGAAGCCAGGTCTCCTGCAGGCTTGCATCTGGGGCCGACTGACTGTGGCGTCTCTGAAAGTGTCAGTGCCTGCTGAACACTGTTGGTGCAACAAGCACCTATAGAAGACCTTTTCCATCCAAAGGAAGACATCTTCCATGTGGATCCTCTGATACCTAAATGACGATCTCATGCTGCAGCTTTTCCTTTATCAGGGAATAAATTTTGGTTGCTCTCCCTTCTCCCTCTCCAGACATCTGTTTTTACAAAACTTGTAGGAACATAATTGTCTTTGAGAGCTCTGTCCCTCTATTCCACTTGGCTGACATCAGTCAGTAGGCTCAAAATTAGTAGGGAAACCAGCCAGACAAAATTATTGCCTAAGCCTCATTTCCTTAGGAAACTAGGCTAAAAAGTTAATATTAGCAATAACTCCTGAATTGGAGCTACCGCTGGGCGAAGGCAGTGTGGCACCGAAGCTGTGTATGCCAAAGCGCAGTCTGATGTGTCGCTCCCATTGTGCTTTTGCTGTAAACTTTCTCCTGGGCCCCGTTAGCAAACAAACCTTCCTCCAGCTGCTGTGTGGGTGAACGGTCATAGCAGTCTCCTCAGCAGGGGGGAGTCAGAACCTCTTTGCTCCTTGGCTTACTCACTGGTGTTTTTGGGATGTGAACCACTGCTTACCAGAAAGTGACGGAGACCACACATCCGTTTAATCTGGACATTCCCTGGCCTTCTGAATATTTTAGACCTGCACTCAAATCAACAGTTTGCAATGGTTTCATCTCCTGTTACTGAGTAATTCATTTCCATGGCAAATTTTTTTTTTAAATCTTTTAAAAGGCCTACATGTTCTTCTCCACCTGAGTATATGAGTGTCAATTTGGTTTAACCTATCTATCTGCAGTCCTTAAATTGTTTTTGAATTTACTTTTTTTTACGTAGTTTTACGTTTTCTTTCTAGATAATGAATTATGGATGTGCAGTGTGAGAAATGTATTTTCTGCTGCAGTGGATGGAAACCTGGGTCTCCATTGCTGCCTAGGGTCTGCATTTTCATCTGCACTGTGTTGTTCATGGTATGTATCCCCCCTTTCCTTCTTCCCCTTTCTCAGAACAGTGCTTAAGAAATTGCATTTGTCTTTGCAGAAAACTGAAATGCTCATCTCTGTTCCCCCGAAAAAAAAAAAAAAAAAAAAGGAAAAAACACATTTCACAGCAGACTCTTCCTTCTTCATCACATATGGTCAGTGATAGTCACCTCGCTGAGATCCGTTCAACTCCCAGTGTGTTTTAAGAAGTCCGTTATATACTAAGAAAGGCATATGGCCAAAGCTGCTTGTGCTGCGATTTCTACTGTGTGAATATGAAGCGCGGCAATGGCATCGTGACTGCTTTCCAGCGTGAGCTTATCTTCAGTATTTTGTTTTATCCTGGAGGCATTGACCTTTCTATTATTAGCCTCTCTGAAAGGAAGGAGTACAACCATGTCTTGTCTGTATCATCTTGTTTATGGTTTATATGCGGCTCAAAGTTCTGCCAGAAACTTAGTGTCATTTTACTGCCTGGTTTTACATTCTGCCTGTGATGTACTAATTATCGGGGTGTGACAGAGCACTTATTTCCTATCATAAACCAGGGCTGTTATCCAGGAATGAAATTTTGTTCGAGTCATGAAAGGATGTAACAATATGAAATATTCTCTGAGGGGCATACTCTCATCCTGTTGACATTGATGGGAATGTTACTTTTGTCTTCACTGCGAGAGCCACATAATGAGACAATGGCATTACAATGCCTGCTTTTATTTTTTTTTTAAAGAAACATTTCCCCACAGTGCTGTGAGCACTGGACAGTTGTATACCTCAGCTGAGTACCTGGTGCAGCACTAGCACAGGATATTTAGTATGCTAGAAAGCTACAGTCTTTGTGGATATAAATCAGCATATTTCCTTCCACATCAGGGGCAGTGTACTGTTTTATATTATGGGGAAATCTTGCTCTCAGCTTCACGCTGCCATTTCCTTCCCCTTTTAGAAAGGAAAAAGCAAAGAGACTGCACTTTTAATCCATTCCTAGTAAGGGGAGGATGGGAGGAAAGAAATAAAACAATTTGGAGACTGTGTAGTAGTTTCCTAGTTCCCTACAAGTAGCACACAGTTAATGCACATGACTTAATGGGAATACACTTGCACTCAGCCGCACTTGCCTACGGCAGAAGAGATAATGAAGTTATTTCTGCTTATACCATCACAAGCCCTCACTTGAACAGCAGGAGCACAAGTAGAGACCAGATTCAAACCAAGAGCAAGGGTGAACAGAGTGCAGCCTCCAGCCTGGCCAGGGCTGCTCAGCACCGCTCTTGGAGACGCTGGGTGTTGTTGGACACTTATGCATCATGTTAGAGCCTCACGTTGCTCTAAGTATCAGTGTTTTGTGTATTCACAGGCTGATGGCTATTTCTTCCACGTCTGTGGAAAAGATGGTAAAATTTCAGGACAAGTAAGAAAGTCGGTCTTTTTTGCCAAATTCCAGCAGACTAGACAGCCCACAGTGTTCAGAACATGTGTGATATTATATTGCAGACATTTCTGGTTGTGAGAGCAGAATTCAACCCTGAACTCATTTACATGATTAAAACGAAGCCAGAATGTCCCACCATACTTTTATAGCACTGGAATGCAAATTTTGATTTACAGTTCCAACTCAGTTCCTTTTCTTACTGATATTTCCCCCCTTTTACCCTCCTCCTGAAAAAAAAAAAAAAAGCATTTGCGTCTTTTACTTCTATCTTAAGCATATCTTTCTGATCTTCTACAGACTGAACCTTGACAATTTTGTAAGGAAATAGATGGTTCTTCTGTTCTACATATCCCATAATTTATTGGCTTCTTGCACCTGTCAAATGCCACATTTCCTCCCTCTGGGAGCATGCTCCCATTCATGTAACCCTCCTTGCCCTGTAACTAGAGAAAGAGAGAAAGTTACAGGTGTCAGTTAAGCCATGACTGTTTCTTTGATCTTCCCTAGGGTTTTTTTTTATTGGAATGTTTCTTCCTAAGTGTTTTTCCTGTGTAACTTTACTTTCAAATAGAGCAGCTTTTGTTTCGTTTTCAGTAAGCCCGGAGCCCCAATTCTGCTTGTGCCACCAGTGAAAAGTGGAAGCGATTCCCCTGATCTCAGCAGATCCTGCTGGGTTAAACCTCATCCGCACAAAGAGTTCTGGTCTCCCTGTCATCTTATTCAGAAATGAGATCCCTGTTTGTGAATAACCCTTCAAATCCACCCCTTATTTGAGAAAGCACTCAAATACTTTCCTGAATCGGGAATATGGAAAATATGCACTTTTTTTAACAGGACAATTTAATGATAAAAAAATCAGGTATATTAAAGGAAAAACAGATCCTTACTCATTTTCCGTGGAAGTGATATATCCTTCGTCAGGACCGGATCTCTTTCTAACTGATGTTCTGCAGCTGAAACAGAAGATGAAAGTATGATGCACACATTATTGGGGAGGCCATTTCCTAGTACTGTTCAAGAGGTTGGACATAGTCACTGCTAGCTCTCTCTGCATCACTGAAATGCAAACAGTTCGGCTCATCTCCGTGCCTTCCAGCCCAGACATTCAGACACTTTAGTAGTAATAAATCCTAAAAAGCACATTTTAAAAACTAATGCTATCAGCCAAGGCAGGCATTTTGCACAGCTTGAGCTGGGCATCTAACCGGACCGCTTTCATTTTTGATCCTGATCTTTCTTTCTTTCTCCCCCTGGTTCTTCTGTCCTCGCAAGAAGACGCCGCTGCCTGTGTGAAATGGCAGGAGGCTGTCCGTGCTTCTGAAATAAATAGTTACCCGTGAGGTTTTCAAAAACCCTGAGAACATTTCTCCGTACACCCTCTTTTTCTTCTTGGTCACGCTTTCCCTTTCTTTCCACGCCGAAGCATTCGCTTTGGGGCAGAGCCCAGGCCATTTCTTTCGGGCTTCCTTTTGCTGCGGCTAGCGATGCCTTTTACTCCCTGCCCTCCTGAAAGGGCCCCCGGACGGTACCGCACACCCGGCACCG